ATCGGCCTACCGGAACTCTACCGGCACGGCATGGTCAGTGCTAGTGCACTGTTTGATGCGCTAAACTTAGCGCAGGGGCTGAAGCAGGAGCGCAGCATAGGGCAGCAGCGAGCGGAGCAGCAGCGGGCGACTGAGCTTGCACGGCGGTTATTACCGCCTGAGGTATCGGGAGCTTGGAGGGTCTCTCCTCCTCTCCCTCGCCAGTCCCCTCTCTCTCTGTCTCCTCTTCCTCCTTCTTCTTCTTCTTCTTCTTCTTCTTCTTCAGATTGGAGACTATCCAGTTGGACAGAGATCAGAGTTGGATTTCGGTGATACGAGACTGTGGTACTTACCTGATTGGAGACTATCCAGTTGGACAGAGATCAGAGTTGGATTTCGGTGATACGAGACTGTGGTACTTACCTGATTGGAGACTTGGAGATTGTTGAGGTTGATACTCGGCTGCATCAGAGTTGGACACCGGTTACATCTGGACTCTGTTATCTCCGACAGTGGTGACCTTTGGTCCTCGACATTTTGATCTTGTTATATGACATTCTGGACTACCATTTCGGAGACCTATCAGACTCTATCTTTGTGACCTATCGGTGTGATCTACCTCCCACCTCCTTCGTCTCTCCTCCCACCTTTCATCTGTGTATGTGTGTACGGGATCTGGGTATTGTCTTTGAATGACCCAGACCCCACCATCTCATGATTGTATGTGTGTGGAGTGATGCCATGTAAGTCAGTTGGTGTGAGTCGGTCTATGTGAGTCAGTTCGTTATCAGACTTCCGCTGCATAAATGCTCATCCTATATTGGTTGATCTTTGGTTCTCCCCATACTCATTGAAGTATGTGTGCAACACTGCATGTCTTCCCTTTCCACTGATTACATTGAAAGAAGACTGAAAGCAAAATGATTGTCCATCAACGGATAGATGACAGTCTGGTCTCTCGGTCAATTGGGATCTGAGTCCTAACTATGAATGAGGAAAAAGACCTTAGTGGAATCGACGCTGCGTACCTGTATGGAATTAGAATGTTATTCTGGACCCAAGGCAAACATAGGATTTCCGCTTCCACTAGGGCTGGGAGGTTGGCCCAGCCTTGGTGCTTGTCACTGCTGTCTGGTCCAAGTTGCCCGCGATACTGGTAGGGTGATGGTCCTGAGTGCTGGTCACACTGAGGTAGGATAGTAGGGTCAGGGGGTGCATTGGGAGTATTAACGTGGGGATGGGTAGGGTAGGTGGCCTATCCTGTCAGGACAACCATTGGCTGCCGCTACCAGCACTCACCACGGGTCTGGTCCTTGGCCTCTACAACACCCTGGGCTTAAAAAAAAAAAAAAAAAACAGGCCTCACCCAAGGACTGTTGAAATAGTAGAAATACATACCTGAGTTCGAATCCAGATGAATGTAATCAAGTAATTTCTGAATTACCTGTGGCTGGTCAGTTCGATGATCATATTTCAAGGCCGTCACCCTCTCCCCCCCCCCAAAGGATTCCTGAGTGCTACTATGTCTACACAGTGGAGACTACAGAAACCAATGGAAACCTCTGAATGAATCTACCGAACCACTGAAAATCTCCGCTTGGGTTTCCAATCCCATGGGCAGCACTCCTGGAAACCAACAAACAAAGCAAACTCATTACTTAAAGTTTTAAACTCATTACCCAGTTTAGCTTACGAGCATTTTGCTCGCCACAGAAATCCTTCATCCGAACAGTCGAAAACAAAGTTGATGTCAATTCACATGCTCACAATACATAAGCAATCAACCTACCCTGAGCTACTCTGTGAGCTCCTAATCTAGCCTATTCTTCCAGCCTAAGCCGGCTACCGGGGTATTTGGCCCAGTGAAGCGGGGCTCATTATCTGACACTCTCCTAACGAACCACTGAGTCCCGACTGAACCGAGTGCCCTGGTTCATGGGTCACACACTCACTAGCCTCCTCCCTACTGACCGAGGGCGCAGGTCCCCTACCTTGTTTCCACTAGTCTAAGTCTGCCTAGCCTCACTGGCCTTGGGAAGACCGAGGTTTTGAAGCTGGCTGCATCAATCACTGGGTAACCAGTTAAGGATCAAAGGACAATAGCATCATCATCATCATCATCTGAGACATTGACAAGTTGTGGGCGATAGATTAGGTCAGGACTCAGGACCATAAGGCCCTTTTCCGAAAAAGAAAAAAGAAAAGAAAAAGGACAACCGATGCTTGTTTCACACTAGGGACAGGTTTTGGGGTTCGAATCCCACCTGAGCCAAAGATTCCATTTTGCCAAGGGCATGGAGGGGAATGGTCAGATAATCTTCACTCCTAAGCTCTATATGTGTCTTTGCCAGTTTGACCACTTTTCTCTGATTGTATTGGATTTGACTCCATAGGATGTGAACTCGTGGTCTGTCTTTTTTTTTAACTGATGTTACGTGTGTGCGCCGTTCAACCACATGGCCTGCTTTTTTTTTTTTTTTTTTTACATGGCCTTTGTTTTTTGACACGTACCCTTGGGCTGTTTTTTTTTTTTTTAAATTAAAATTTAAAATCTCTTTCGTTTTTTTTTCCGATCTCGCCCCTGCTTCCAGTGGAGTTTGAACTCGGGTCTGTATTTCAACAGGTCATGGTCGCACCGACAGAGCTACCTTCTTCCCCCGGAACACCACGTAAGGTCATTCTTGCTGTATCTAGACTCAAATTTGCCCCAAATACAGCCAAAATAACCGCACGATGCACATTGTATTCGGGTGAAGACGGTAGGCCAGTTGGTACCCCAACCCTTGGATTTCGAGGAGGAGAATTGTTTCAGTAATCGGCCACACGCGTGGATGTTTTTGACACAGGTCTCTTCAGGGCTACTGGGAATTTATACATGGCAAATGCAAACAGATGGAGATGTTCGATGGGAGGAACCCAAGCTGAAGAAGAAGTGCCGGCTTGATGTATGTGCTCGTTTCCTACTCCCGCTTCCCTCCTCGTCTGTGTGGAGATCTGCCTCTTTACAAATTTGTCTCTGGATCAGTGTGGATAATTTTGCAGTTTTAAATGAACATACCAATGGACTGTTAAGGTTTAAGGCTTTCTGTGTTTGGTTCTCTGTAAGGCTTTTTGCGCTTGCCTCTGTTGCGTCTGGGCTTGTTGTTCCAGTGACCGGGAGGCGCCAGCTGCAGGCTGGGTGTAAGAAATCCTCCTCCCGCTCTGAAGGGTCAAGTCTGGCATCTATCCCTGGGGGATTCTGCAGACCGGTGAGGGGCACGGCCTCCTGATGAGTTGGTGAGAGTTCGACAAAACGGGTTTGTCATTATGGCCCATTATCTGCTGAGGCTTGTGCTCTGGCTCAACTCAGGCTGCCGTTTGATCACTGGTGGCCTCTCATGCGTAGTAATGGACCAATGTGACAGGGATGCAGCTTGGTGCATCTTGTCGGTGCTGTGTTCCGCACTGTTACATTAGTAAGCAGAAGAGTTCCCCTGCTGTTTCTGCAGTTCCAGTGTGAGGCTATGATAAACAAGTGGGAAAACGGTGCGAGAAGTGGGGGATTACACCCATCAAACCATGGAGAGTCTGAAGAATCACCTCCTGAAGCTTTGTTGGGCCGGTATTTGAGAAAACAAGGATCTTTGCCATAGTCCTGACTCGCCAGGACTATGGACCTTTGACGGTCTGCAGAATCACCTCCTGAAGCTTTGTTGGGCCGGTATTTGAGAAAACAAGGATCTTCACTCAGGTGTCAGTGCACCTGCCAACGATCAGGATATGTGGGAATGACAAGCAATGTAACTATCTGAGCATTCGGTGATTGCAGAATGAACAATCATCACTCTTATATGTGATATTTCGAGAGTGCTCCAACAATGAGCAGCACAGTAGGATTCCTGACAGTCTGCAGAATTGCGCAATGATCCTGTTTTGAATGCCTACTCCAGAAATGAATGCTTCTCTCTCTCTCTCTCTCTCTCTCTCTCTCTCTCTCTCTCTCTCTCTCTCTCTCTCTCTCTCTCTCTCTCGCTCGCTCGCTCTTGCTCTCTCTCTCGCTCTTGCTGTCTCTCTCGCTCTTGCTCTCTCTCTCTCTCTCTGTGTTTGATTGCACAAAATGGGACTAACCATAGTTAAGCCCGACAACTGCCTCCTCTGTGAAGATTACGGAGAACTGATGCTGAAAACTTTGTTCAATGGCTAAATACATGGCAGTCAAATCGTAAGATGAGATCATGAAAAACATGCTTCAGAAGCATTCAATGCTTCTTGAGAGTAGAATTAACACCATAGATTCAAGACACGCGGTTAATGGAAGGCCCAAAATTCGGGTTTTTTCGCTGCATCACTACATGCAATGTCGTGGAAAATTTTGCGAACAAACTATGCAGGCTCATAATACAAACATCAAAAAATGAAACAGGCAAAAAAAAAAAAAAAAAAAACCAACTCAAAAGGACTATAAAACCCTATTCGGAGTAGCTTTCGGAGTTCGCCAATCTTTTTCCCGAATTCGGTGTTTTTGCCAACTTCGTTACTTCTCCAAATACGCTGAAACTGAAGACAGATATACCCTCAAGCACATACATATCAGACAAAAAAAAAAACACAAGAAAAAAACAAAAATTCAGGGAAATATGGCAGTTTCGGTGAAAAATTCGTCGAAAATAGCACCACCCATTAACCACGAGTGAGATTCAAAAGCCTCAAAGTTTATTGTTTAAAATAATCGAAACACGTTTACCATGATTCTCATTTGAAACAATACCAATGGTAGCCCGCTATTTGAGTTGCCGGCTATTTGAGTTGCTGGCTATTTGAGTTGCTGCGTATTCGAGTCTCTCTACAGCTATTAGCACCGCCACAATTCCCGGGATGTGTGTGTGTCCGGGACTTGTTTAACACTTGGTGACTTGGTCCAGAATAGTGCACTGGCAGGATTCAAATTTGTAATCGAAAACCAACGAGCCTAGCGCAGTTGGTACACCCACAAACTGTTGAAATGGAGACTCACGTTCGAATCCAGATACAATCAGATGACCAGAATGAAATAATTCTCAATTACCTGAGGCTGGTCAGTCAGTTCAACGGCGATATCTCAAGGCCGTCGCCCCTTCCTGAAAGAAGTTTTAAGTTTTAACTTTTAAGAAAAAAACGAAGAGGTAATCTAAAACAGCTATATTAGAACTGATCTTTCGGGCTCTACCACTTTTTTGCATAGGCCGCACGTTCCTGCATCTCACAGTCCTATACCTGCATCGTGACATCTTCATACGTCTCATCATGGAGTATGGCAGGCCGCCTGTTCCGCCCTCGGGTCTGAGCCCAGAGTCCACCAGCATCGGGTTCTCGGTCAATACAAGTCGTAGGGTGTTCCCGATAGAGAGCCCAGTTCCAGACAAGATGAAGGGCGTGGCGTGCTCACAGTGGGACTTTCATCGATGTATCTCATGGTATTTATGCCCACAGTCATTGGGGAAGGGAGTCCCCTTGTGAGGATGCCCTTAGGGAACTGCTCTGCTACTCTTCCTTGAGTGAGTCTGTCCTAAGGGGACTGCTCTGGCACTCTTCTTTGTGTGAGTAATGCCCTAACGGGGGAGTCGTCTAGCTGAGTGGTAGGGACTTTAATTGCCGCCTCGCCTCGGAATTGATAGAGGCAAGAGACATCAGCTATTTTTAGCCAATGAGGTGCAGGCTAACGCGTAGTGACGGACGCGTGACGGAAAAGTACTCCGCAGAATACGTTAATCCCCTCCCTACTGTCCTTACGGATAGCTGTTATACCACCAGTACCTACCGCGTTTTTTAGGCGTTAACGTGGAGGCTGAATCGGTGTGCCGCATGGGTCCGTATGCATTTGCATCAGAGGGGGCCTGAGACCCCCTGGGGTACTGGTGGTTTGAACCACCAGTACATGACCATAAATCGGCCGTGGGCCCCTCACTGTGACTTTTGGCCGCCGGAAACGGCACAAAGGCCATTGCTGAAATTTATCGCGCCGGTGCGGCCCTTAAAGTTGCCGTGGTGGGGACGAGTTCATTTTCTGCAAAGCGGCGGCCGTGTATTCATGGCCTGAAGTTGGAAGCATACCAAGAAGATTAGCATGGCCCTGTGGGGAGGAGGATGACATGCGCAAATTGAGAATTACCCTCGCACCAGGCGGGGGGGCAAGTACGAGCAGAGCCTCCCTTGATACGCGTTTCAGGTAGGTACACCAGAAGATGGTTTCTATCGACAGATTAAAAATGATAGAATGGATAATTCCTACCACAGATGAAAAATGAAAGCAACGGAGAAAAAAGAAGTTGAGCCAGCAATTATTCTCTCCTTAGCCCTTAGCATCACTCTTCGCATGCACCGAGAGAGTACCCGAGTAACTACCGGGCAGACCCCTGACTGAGGTTTATTGCAGAAGGACTGAACTTGCATGTTTTGTATCGTTTGATTGAAAAGAAAAGTAAAAAAAAAAAACTCCTACTGTTATGATCTTAATTCTGTTGTCACTATGTTTGTATTTTCTGTCCGTTCTCCATGCCTACTTTATGACGCGTGCCGTCGTGTGGTGAAATGCCTGCCTTAGAAATCATCTTCAAGTGTACCTACCTGAAATGTGCATCAAGGGAGGCCTCCCTTAATTCTGTTCTCACCTACCTTCTTCCCCCGAATACAACGTACGTTCATTGTAGCTGAATTTGGGGCATCTTTCAGTCTAAATTCAGCTATAATGACCGTATGTTGTATTCGGGGGAAGACTGTAGGGCAAGCTGGGAACATTTTCTCATACGATGCTTGCCTGCTTCAGGAAGGCTACCGTCTTCACCCGAGTAGAACGCCCGGTCATTATAGCTGTATTTGGCACGGCTTTCAGCCCAGATACGGCGATAATTACCTGGCGTTCTATTCGGGTGAAGACGGTAGGTAGGCCCCTTGGCTTTAGAAAGGCTATGCGAGCTACTGCTTGTCGTAGAGCTGGTCCAATTTGGGTGCTGCCTGATCTTCGTTAAAATTGCAGGAAGCGTTGACCGACTCCAGGATGGCGGAATTTAGGGTCTCGCCGCACGGCACACGAAACGAAAACGAAACGAGTGCATCTGCCCACCAAAGGTGGCACAATACACTCGTTACTATTTATAGCAAACCGATGAACCTGGCCATTTTCTTTGGGAAGATACATTCGTTTCGTTTTTCGTTTCGTGTGCCGTGCGGCAACGTCCTTAGCAGGTGTTGCCATCCTGGCATGAACATAGCACTACCATCTTCATCCGAAGAGAATGCCCGGTAATTATAGCTGTATTTGAAACAACTTTCAGTCCACATGCAGTGATACTGGCCGGGTGTTCTATTCGGGTGAAGAAGGTTAGTGCCATCGATTGTACCTGCCAAGTCATCATGTGGAGGGGTAGGATGACATCTGCGGCCATCTGTGCCCCATTTGTGCCCCTTTAGGTACTTCTTCAAGTACTTATTGAAGTATATCCCTTGATTCCCTTCCCATACCCATTTATATACCCCTTCAAATTTTGAATTTTGAGGACTCTGTGGCTATGGATGGAACAGATTCTTCATTTGAGGCTCCACAGCACGCGATACCACTTTGGCATCTCATTTATTCTGTATGCGAGGAGAATGCTCCGATCTCACGTTTTTTACATTTATCCGTTTCCTCTGTGGTCTTCTTTTTGTAGTTTGCACCGTCTTGGTTCCTGTCGTTCACGAGGCTCATCGTCATCCATATAATAAATTAATAATGCCATTTTGTGTCATGGTCAGCTGAGGTTGAAATCATCACAAGTTTTTGCATTGCTAGAGCACAGCCATGGATGGTGGATGGTGTGTGTGTGTGCGATTGAAGCTTGCCTGGATCCCATGGGGCCCACTGACAGGTATATAATATAATATGTATAATATTGTGACGATATATGGTAAATATGGTAATTAATATTTATCTCCTTTTTTGCTTTTTAAATTTCGAAAGCAAAACTCTGTAGATTGGACGCTGCAATTCAGTTCTTTTTTATGTCTGGTATTTCTCTTTTATTTTCCGTTTTTATGTTTTTTTTTTTCCCTTCCCCTTCTGGTATATCTTGCTGGAGGAGTTTTGGGCTGAAGTACAGCCCATGTGGCTGTATGGTAACACACATACAGCGTGTTTCTTGTTTTTTTTTTTTTTTTTGGGAACAGGACGTCATGGTGTGGCTCTGCATTGCTTCTGGGGAGCGTTGCCCCGGCGCCTTTCCCACCAGCGAGTCATAGAAAGAAACAACAACTGACATAGCACCAATTCTTCCGTCGAGGCTATTCTTCAGTCGAGGCGAAGAAGACCTTTTCACCTCGCCCGTGGATGTGATTGCGGCCACATGCATCCATCAGCATGTCGTAGAAGGAGCATTGAATGGCATTGATTCCTCCATGTCCTGAATGATTGACGGACATGTGATCTTTTCCTTCTTCGATTCCTCTCAGGCCATACTCGCAAGAGGAATTTCCTGCATGAATCTGACTGCATTTACGACCTGTTCTGTATGCATCCGGCCACAATAACGCTCAAAGATAAGTTGAAATAGTCATAGTGTGAGTATGCCCTCAGTCTCAGTCTAACTCAGACTGCTAGAAGTGCGTCAAGCGAAGAACCAAAGAAGTACAGTCCAGAGTGGTGGGCTAGAGTCGCTGTCTAAACGTTGCTGAGTTTGTCTTCCCTTCTGGAGTCCTCTTAGGGCGTACTCATGCTAGGACTTTTTCACCTTGCATGTGGACGTAAGTGCAGCCAAATGCATCTACTCGTTGCTGCAAACCCAGTCCGATACATCCAGCGAAGCCCTTGTGTGAGTATGGTCTTAGTCCCATGAAAGGACTTGCTTCCACAACTGGCTTGGATGATCACCAAGGGACACTCCATTTTCTCCACCTCAGCAGGTTGTTGCTGATTGTGGCTATCTTGTCTTTTCACAGCCACCCACCTATAAACGACTCTTTTTTGTTGTCGCTGATCGTGGATATCTTGCTGTTTAGCAGCCACCCACACATGAAGGCGTTCTTCTTGGCGTCGGATCGATCTGGCTTGCGTTTAATAACTGTTCAAATTTATCCCATCTGTGCCTTACTTCCTTCTCTACCAACCCGATCGATTGCATCCACGCTGCTCCTTTGTCGATCCTCGCGTTGTCAATAATCTGAGAATATCTTCTCTTCCAGACTGCCGTAGGATTACCTCCCTGATATGAAGATACCATGCCGATCATTGGCCTCGTAAAAAAGAATGCGGATTTTAATAGGAAGTAGGGTTGTGAGGGAAGGTGTGGGCGAAAAGGCTTCGTGACTCAGTCTCAGCAGTGGTGGCTGCAGCATAAGAGAGCAGACAGAGAAGGATGCCATCGTTTAGGTTCTTAGTACACAGAACACAGATTCCTCCGTTCATGTACCGTGGATGGACTGGGAGGTGCACGTATGATCTATAACTTCATTTAAGCCATTGAAAGCTGTGATTTTTTATCGATTTAAGTGAGCGCTCTGTATTCACTCCAGGAGATCTCTATCGTCTTATTGGGTTTGAGACTTTGAGTTGCTATAAGTTCATGCCATGTGTTTATGCATGGCCTTGGGTAGGCAGCACTTTTCATGGCTCCGTTTACATGCACTTAAGTATGCCGCTGTCTGTCCATGAGTGCCAAAAAGTATGCCTTTAACTTGTGGTCTGTTCATCAACAGTATGCCACACAAGTCTTTCGTCCTTGGCATATAGACTCTTTCTTAGAGCACTTAGAAGGGTGTATAGCCTCATTCACATAATACCCCCACGGGACCTAGGGGAAGGAGGAGGTGGAACTTGAGGGGAAAGATGACTTCCATGGCTATGGAGGATCAGGGGGAAGAAGTAGACGGTGAGGTAGGCTATGGTGGAATGGGGTAGAAGCCCATGCCAGGCTATGAAGGCAAAGTAGGAACCTTCAGTAGAGTAGAGGATGACGAAGGAGGAGGGAATCGACATAAAGACTTACCTTTGTTTATGTTGATCCATGATTTTTATGTGCCTGATTCACACTGCATCAAGAAGGCAGGGCACAGAGGGTTCAGCGGTGAGGAAGAAATGGGGCAGAAGATCCATGATCTTTACTTGCCTGATTCGCACTGCATCAAGAAGGCAGGGCACAGACTGTTCAGCGGTGAGGGAGAAATGGGGCAGAAGATGGAGATAACAAGTAGTAGAAGTGTGGTGTCCTCTACTGTTTCGCACTGCATCAAGAAGGCTCTGGTAGGGCACGGCTGGAGAGAGGATTCGTCGGTGAGCGAGAAATGGAGTAGAAGACGACAAGAGTGAGTAGTAGAAGTGTGCTGTCCTCTGGACTTCCCGCATGTAGCTGGGATGTACTGCCATAGCTGGTGGTGCCCAGAGAAGGGAAGGAGAGTCGTATGAGAGCTAAGGAGAGTTCCTTCTTCGGGGAAGTAATGGAAAATTTCTCAGACGTTGATTTAATTCTCCATTCATTTGTTGTTGTTGTTTTTTGTTCATGTACTGCTCATTAAGAGGAGGAGAGTTTGAGAGGGACGAAGATGGAGGGCGAACTGAGGAGGGGGATGACATTCATGCTTCTTCCTCTTCGTCCTCTTCGTTTTCTTCGTCCTCTTCGCCTTCCTCGTCCTCTTCTTCTTCTTCCTCCTCCTCGTCCTCTTCCTCCTCTTCTTCTTCTTCTTCTTCTTTGTTGACGTTTTCTTTGTTGTCGTCTTCGTCTTCGTCTTCGTCTTATTCTTCGTCTTTCTGTCATCTTTATGTCGCGTCACTTCTTCCTTAGTTGTGATCGTTGACATTGTCTCAAATTCTTGTACTGCATCATGAGTGATTTACAATCAAACTGTTGAGTAATCTGATGTTAGGTCGTCCGTTGTTCAGTGGGTCCAGAGTCCAGACGGTGTGGATATGCCCATCCCGATATCTGGGTATAACCATGTTTTGTGCTTGAAGTCTTTTTCACTGGTCAGCAGATACAGCGGTAGTACAGCCCGATGTCTGGATTTTACCATCGTCTGGACTTGGAAGTCTTTTTCACTGATCAGCAGAAATACAGCTGTGCTGTTGTCAGCAAACGACAAGATCTGCAGCGGGACCATAACTATAATATCGATGAACTTGGAGAGGGGGTGTGTACAACAGCTAGGTGACCAGGTGCATCTGACCGGGCACCTGTGCAGGTTGCCTGGCGATCCAGCTGCCCAGGGTACCACGGGCATGTAACAGCTCTGGTTTTTGTTTCCCCCCCCTCATTGGTTGGCCTTGTCTGTGGCCAGTGAAAGCAGCCCGAATCCGGGCTCTTTTTTGTTTCTCATCATTGTCCGTTGGAGGGCCGGGAAAGACGGGTATAAAAGGGGCTTAAACCACCACCAGTACTTCTGGGCCTCCTTTTCTCCCGATCTGGATTTTGTGCTGCGCACTGATAAAAAATGAACTGGCACAGGGCCAGGCACTGTCTTTTTTTTTTTGTTTTTTTTGTTTTTTTTTTGTTTTGCGTGGTGCTACAGGCAGTTTTGCTTTGGTATGTCGAACCCTGAAAGGACTCAGCGCATTAACAGCCATGTGGGAACAAAGTTGCAGGGAAAGGTGCTAGAGGGGTTTAAAGCGGCTAAAAGGGGGTGCTGTAGTTTTTTTTTTTTTTTTTCTTATTCTGTATCTTCATTTCAAAAAGAAATTCTGAGGTGACCCACGGGCAAAAGTTGTCTGCATTGCAATTCTGCGGAACCTTTTTTTTCCCCCCAATATCTTTTTATTTTCTTGAATAATTTGAATTTACTCTCTTTTGCTCTGGGGTTGGCCCTGCCTGGTGGTCCTGCCCTGTGTCCGGGCACGACATTCGTGCACGAGTGCACGGAAAATGAACCCAGGTGCACAGTCTGCAGTTGATAGCTGGAAAGGGTATACTTTTTTTTTTTTTTTTTAAGGGATATATTTTTCTGAAATATGCCTGGGTTCTTGTTTGTGTTTTTTGGAGGAATCAATCTTTTCTTACTCGGAGATTTTCTGTTTGCTGCCGTAATAATTTTTGGATATGTGGTTTCCAGGGCAAGGCTGTGGATGTGAAAATGATCAAAGACAGGGTCTGGGTGCTTCTCGAAGACAGCAAAGGACTTTCAAATGTCCTCTGTACCAATCTATCAAAGTAGGGGTCCCAATCTGCCCAGAATGTTCTTTGACATCTCCACGACAGCTCGCCGTCAATCTCCTCTTGCATTTATTGTCCCTGAAGGATCTGAGAATTTCTGAATCAGTCCTTATTTTTTAATGAGTGGGATCCGACGAAAGGTTATAGAAGTTTCAAGTCAGCTGCTTGCCGCGGTAAATATATATTGAATACATTGATATTGATTTAGGAAATAGAAATAAATATTGTCTCTACCTGACACACAGGTGCAAGGAAAATGAGCGAGAGAGAAATGACAGAATTCCAAATTGCGACATCACATCGAAAGCCGGATAGTCGTGAGCTGTCCAGAAAGCAGAACCGAACGGATGTCACCCCAAAGGAGAACCAAAACAACGAACACAATTGTCAATGAAAGCCTTCTCTCACCACCACTAACAGAGTATCCGATGCCCTTTCTCCCTATTGGCGCTCAGCGACCAGACTAAGATCACAGAGCTCCTATGCTAGCCCACACTAATGACGAAACAACCGGATGACGTCAGCAGCAGAAACCAGAGTACGTGCAGATGTCGACCATGCAGACCTCCAGGACGAACCAGGTTCATGCTCTCCCACTCTCTCTCTCTCTCACCCCTTCCCACCCACACTGTCCACGTGTCACCCAAAGACCACCGCCAGACGCCTCCGCTGACTGCCCGTCAAGCGTGGCTATGCCTGACAATAGCGGGCGCTGCTCTCCCTAGCAGCTTCACCACCTCGCCCATGTGCGTTATCAGCATCAGTGCCCTGCGGTCTCTGAGCGCGTCAAATGGCAGTGCTGCCGCGTATGCAGGAAGTGCTTCAATGCCGGACAAGCAGCCGGCACTTTCCTTTATGGAAAGTGGCTGGGCACGCTGGCCGTCTGGCCTGGCGATTGTGTGCCCCGTGGCTTCACGGTGGGCCAAAGTGTCTGCACCCAGGCCCAATTCAGATAGTGGCCTGGGACCCAAACAGTTAGGCGTGCCCAACTGTCGGATGTGGGCTGCATCACTCTCTCTGTGCATCCTGACAGGCCGAAAGGCCTACTTCCACGCGCAGCTGGAAGGGCCTAGAAGGCTCAAGGAGCCCTAGTTGCTCACATGCAGGGCCCAATAACCAACTGGCGCGCGGTAACTGTCACCAGGACCTCGAAATCACAAAATTTAGGCTTTAATTTAATGAGATGTGCAGGCCCACCTTCTGTTAGGGCGAGCACAAGGCTTGCAGTGCGCCCCCATGATGGCCTGCCGAGGACGGAGATCCGCGCATAGGGGAGGGACGGGAATGGCAGAGGGTCACATAACGCAGGAAAGAAAAAGAAGCGAAGGCGGGCACAAGGCTTGCAGTGGGGCCCCATAAGGGCCTGCCGAGGACGGAGATCTTCGCATAGGGAAGGGAGGGGAATGACAGAGGGTCACATAACGCAGGAAAGAAAAAGATGCGAAGGCGGGCACAAGGCTTGCAGTGGGACCCCATAAGGGCCTATGTGGAGCGTGTTGCTATGCCGTACTCTGTAGAGCGTATTGCTGTGTAGTATGCACCTACATAGAGCATGTTGCTATGTACCTATGTGGAGTGTGCTTGCGATGTAGAGAGTGTTGCTATGTACTTGTATTATTCTTGGGGTTTTCTGTGTGACGGTCTGAGGGTGTACTCTAGCACTTCTCTAAATGTATCTGACCGCAGTTACGGACGGACATGAATGCACCTGATCCCAGTCATGTTCAGAGCTGGGTCGGAAAAGTCCTAGTGTGAGTATGCCCTGATTGGCTTGCTGGATTGATCGATGCTTTGGAAGTAGAAATTTTGAACACAGAATAGGTCCCTAGGTCGGATTCAAAGCAAAAGACGTAGAATCGTGCCCATAACTAAGCCTACCGTCTTCCCCCGAATAGAACGCACGGTCATTATGGCCTGTATTTAGGCTAACTTTTAGTCTAGATACAGCGATAACGACCGTATGTTGTACTTGGGGGCAGATGGGAAAGGCACCAACTGCTGCAGGACATGCTGCCATACACAAGGTGCAGCAATTTGGATATCTCGGGGCTCCGCCTGGGAAAAGAAGGTACGCCAAATAAACCTGCGCGAACTTGGATCATTGCAATTATTTTTAGATAAATTTAAAATTTTATCAATTTTTAAATTTTTATCAGATTCTACAACTTGATAGCTTTTTTTTTTTTGTTGTTGGCTAAATCTCTGGACTTCAATATCCAGAAAAAAAAAAAAGTTCAGTGTTTTTGGTTCTTGGATTTCTTTCCTTTCTATGAATTTAACCAACCGGATTGGAATCGAAAATCCCTACATATTGGACCGCCAATTTACCGGTAGCAGAGTACTTCTCTTTCTGTTTTATGAGGTAAGAGCATTTCGATTCAGGCCTGAGCTGGCAGCAAAAGCGGCAGGCCGCTTTGAAAAAAACGCGGTTACGGGCTCGCGAGCCTTGGAAGGCAGCTTCATCAACTTGGGCTTGCTTGATGTTTGAACTGCTGGTTAGTTTCCTAAAGCGTACAGGTAGGGCTCTCGTGCCTCTTTGAGGATCGACTGGGAGAACAGCTCAGAAATTCCGTCGGAACGAAGGACCGTGAAAACCGTAATCTGTTCATATATCGTCAAGCAGAAGCGCCTACAGTAAACTGAAAGCAGAGAGGGAGAAGAGAACAACAAGCACGGGGCTGTGACAAACTGTTTCGTGAACTTTTGTCAGAGTTTCACCGACTCATCAGGAGGGTCCTTCTCCGGTGGAATTTACTCAAGGTGGGGACCACCATCCTGTTGGAGAAACTGTTTCGTTAGTATATGATGTACAAATCAGGATGGTCAGAACACATACAGACCAAAACTGCACAGTTCATCACCAATGAGTGCACACATATACATGCATCAAGCACAAATGAGATGACACAAATTTCCACACTGAATGCCAGAGAGTCAAAGACCAGAGAACGCAGCTTATGAATTCCAACAAGTCTTTACAAGAATAACAAGAGTTCAAGTCACCAGCGCTCATCAGCGCATACACAAGGTAACCAGTAACCAGCATCAGCTCTCAGTAAGTATCTCCTTCTCACTGCTCTTCTCCCTCATGTATCCCTCTCTCTCTTGCTGGTCTTCTCCCTAGCTATGTCCTCCCTGTGTCTTCTCTCCCTACACGTGTGCACACTCACAAACTTCTACTCAAGGATCTACTCTGAATACATCCACTGCTACTGAAACAGTTTTCACCTTTGGCAGTAGCCGATGCAGATCCCAGGGGTCGATCCCTTGACCTCAGCTTACCTGTGTACA